CCCTGGCGACTTTGCAAAAGCTATGTCTTATACAGTGTTGCACCCTAAACCCAGCAAACCACTCATGCCTCAGGTGGCTTCCCTCCTAGCCAGTGTCCTCTCTCCATGTCTAACTTGCTGGTGTTTGGTGAGTCCGGCTCAGCATCGTTCTGGCCCCTTAGACCAGCAAGCTCCGCATCCTGTTACTAGAGCTGCTGCCTTTCTGATCCCCTTCTCTGGCTCACACACCTGTCCTGTGTCCTCCTCCACTGCTACTGTTCTTTCCCCAACTGCTCCCTGTGAGCTCTGAACACCTTGGGTCCCTTTAAATTCCCACACATCCTTATCTTTTCACTTGCAGCAATTCCTTCAACATGTGGCTTTTACCTACGGATCTTCCTTAAGGACATAGTTTCTCTTAAGGAACAATTTTTTAAAGGTTTATTTTTTTTGGACAGGCAGAGTGGCAGTGAGAGAGGGAGAGACACAGATCCTCTGATGGCTCATTCACTTCCTATGTGCGCACAACAGCCTTGTGAGCCTGCAGCTCCTCCAGGCTTTCCATGTGGGTGGCAGAGACCCAAATGCTTGGGCTCTCACCTGCTGCCTCCCGGATGCGCAGCAGCAAGAAGTTGGATTGAAAGCAGGGCAGGACAGGGAAGCCAGGCGTGTATCCCAAGTGGTGTGTCAACTCCTAGGCCAAATCCTTCTGCTCACTAAACAAAGACCCTTTGTGCACAGGAATTTCTGGTTTTTTTTTTTGCACCAACCTTACTTTGTAGATTCATTTTCCATGAACTTTTTGACATGCCCTTATACATAGTCCAGGTCTTTTCCATATCAGGAACTTTGAGTATCTGGTTAGTTTCCTGTGAGTCAGTTCTAATCAACTTGGTTTAGAGTCTGTGTTTAACTTGATGACCTTTTCTATTCAAGTCTTTCATCCACACGGTATTTAAATCAATGTTGGGAAATCCTCTTTGGAAACCACTGAGCCACAGAGTTCAGTAAAAAGGTCCTATTTTTCCTTGTAATTCAGCATGGTCAAGAGGATTGCATCTTTCATATGAAGACATTGCTCTATTAATTTCTCCACTTCCTTGTAGTTTGAGAACTGCTACTACTAAGCATGGCAGATACATGTTCCCACTATGCACGTGGACCCCTAGCTATCCTGTTCTCCTTTCCCAATGAGTTACACTGAAAGCATGTAATACTACACCTGCTTTTGGGGTAAGTAAAAAAAAAGATGTTCAGAGCATATCAAAAAACAAGGAATGCTGTCATGACCTAGGTAAGGCTCCCACCTGCAGAACCAGCATCCAATTGTGGGCGCTAGTTCGAGTCCCGGCTACTACAGTTCCAATCTAGCTTCCAGCAAACGTGCATGAGAAGGCAGCAGAAGTCATGCCTACACCTACACAGGAGATCTGGAAGAAGCTCTGGGCTCTTGGTTTTGAACTAGTCCAGCTTCCAACACTGTGGCCATTTGGGGAGTGAACCAGAAGACAGAAGATTCTGAGTATGTTTTGTGCCTTTCAAACAAACAAGTAATTTTTTTTTCTAAAAAAAAATAATAATCAGAAACAACACAAATAGTCAACAACAGGAAGAGGTAAAATAAATGATGGTCTACAGGTCTTTATAATATAGAGTCACTGAAAAAAATGACTTTAGGTACTGTACTTTCTCAATTTCATTAAGGCAGGTGCAGTAGGTCAGGAAGAGACCTGGATATGAGAGGGCACTTCAAGAAGCTTATCAAAAATGGATTTAAAAGGGAAGTTTACTTTAATGTAAAAAGATTTTGAAATCCAGGGCAGGTGTTGTGGTCCAACAATGCTCTATCAGAGTGCTAGTTCAAATCCCACCTTCGCTACTTCCAAGCCAGCTCCCTGCAAATGCACGTGGGAAGGCAGAGGTGATGAGCCCAACACCTGCATCCCTACTACCCACTGAGGAGACCTGCACGGGGCGGCTGGCTTTGGTCTGGCCTAGCCCTGGTTGTTATCTGGGGAGTGGACCAGGACACTTGCTTTGTCACTCTTTTTTTGACATCCATGCATACTGTTTTCATAATATTCATTTTCTATGAACTTTTCGGAGACCTCTTCTATGTCTGGCTTTCAAATCATTTTGCTTGAAAACAACTTGATCGTTCAATACCTCTTCCTATGAAATTTTTGAAGTTCCCTTGTATGTGTTATAGTATGGTTGCAATTGCATGAAATAATTTAAACAACTGAGATTCAGATGATCAGTTATATCCTGTAACTATGGTAGATCATTTTATTTATGCTTCTCTACAGATTCTAAATTCTGCATAGTATGAATATTCTACTTTTTTTTTTATTTATTGTTGCTTAAATTGTATTATGTAGTACAGTTTTATAGGCGCTGGGGATTCCCCCCACCCCTCCCATACCCCTCCCCCCATGGTGGATTCCTCCACCTTGTTGCATAACCATAGTTCAAGTTCAGTTGAGATTCATTGCTTGCAAACACATGCCTAGCATAAAGTTCAGCGTCTTATTGTCCAGATAAGTTCAGTGGCCTCTTGGGGAGACCTTCTATGGTCTGAAGATAGGTCTAACAGAGTAAAGATCCGGTCAGTTAAAAGCCCCAACAAGGCCTCAGTATCAATATACAACATTATGGAATTAATTGACATAGTATTGGGTAAACAATATGTTAAAAATAATGCAAGTTCCATTCTTCGAAACATCTGGGTTGAGACAGTATCAATGACAGGTTCAAAAAATAACAAACCAGAACTTTTTATTTTAATTTCAAAGATTAGAATTTTCTGGCAGTCTGATCCTTCTGGTTGACAAGATGAAGGCCCAGCCACTCCCTACAACCTGGCCTCACTGGCTTTTTCTTTTGCTTTCTTTTTAAAGATTTGTTTATTTGAGAGTAACAAAAAGGGACTGATGTAGTGGTATAGCAAGCTAATCCTCCATCTGTGGTGCTGGAATCCCATATGGGATTTATGCCCTGGCTGCTCCACTTCTGATCCAACTCATTGCTCATGATCTGGGAAGGCAGTGTAGGATGGCTCAGGTCCTTGGGCCCCTGCACTCATATGGGAGACCAGGAGGAAGCGCCAGGATCCTGGCTTCAGATCAGCTCTGTTCTGGTTGTCGTACCTATTTGGGGAGTGAACCAGCCAATACAACATCTCTCTCTCTCTCTCTCTAAATCTGCTTTTTAAATAAAAAGAGTCACAAAGAGGGAGAGACAGAGATATCTTACACCTGCTGGTCCATTCCCCAGATGGCCACAATGGCCAGGGTTGGTTGGGACAGGCAGAAGCCAGGAGCTTCTTCCAATTTTCCCACATGGGCGGTAGGGTCTAAGCACTCGGGCCTCTCCCACTGATTTTCGCAGGCCATTACAGGAAGCACCAAGAACACAAACTGCTGTCCATATGGCTTGACTCACTATGCTACAACACCAGCCCCCCACTTTGTGCTTCTGTTAATATTGAAACAGAACTCACATATACTGCTCACCAATGCACAGTGCACAATTCAATGGTTTTCCAACTATTCAGTTTGAAACTTATCACAGTCAACGCAAGCCTCATCCTGACCCTGTATCACTAAGCACCACCTCCCATTTTCCCCCACCTGTAGGCTGACTACTCTACTTGATGAGTCCTGATCCTGTAAGGGTCAGGCAGAGCTGACATCCCCATGGTACTGTCAGGAAGCTATTCCCATCCTTTGACAACCACAATTTGAGGAAATTCAAAAGCCGAGTTACCCCTACCCTTGGCAATATCACGCTAATTTTCTTTCTTTGTAGGGATTTATTTGAAGGGCAAGGGTGAAGGTATAGGGTGACTTCTCCCCTGGTTCCTTCCCCTAAATGAACTGAGCCAGCTGAAAGCAGGAGCCAGGAACTTCCTCCAGGTCGGCCTCAGTGGGCACCAGGGACCCATGCACTTGGGTCATTTGCAACTTTACAGGTTGTATGAGCAGGGAGCTGGACGGGAGAGGCAGAGTAGCCCGGGCTTGAACTGCAACTCCCACGCGGGCTGTGGAGGCTCCAAGCTGTGCTACAGTGCCCACCCTAGTTTTCTGTTTCTGCAGATCTGCCTCTTTGGCACATCCAGTGGTGATGCATCAGACATCCCTAAACCGCACTACCGCGTTCCTGCCAGCAGTGGCAACTGTTACTACTGCGGCACCAACGCCACTCGGGAGCTCCAAGGGGCGGGGCCTCGGCCCCGGCGCTCGGCGGCCATTCGTTGGGGCTCAGGACTTTCCAGTGAATGTCTCTTCGAAGGGAAAAATAAAGCCACTCAGGGTTCTGTGACTGGCACCAGAGCTTAAGGGCCAGTGGATAAGGGGGGTAATTCGGCTTTTGGATTTCCTCGCTCATTTCACTTTGTCAAAGGATGGGAATAGTTTCCTGACAGTGCGATGGGGATGTCAGCTCTGCCTGAACCCTACAGGATGAGGACTTGCCAAGTCAGCTTCCAATGAAACACACAAGAGAGGAGCAGCACGACAAAGTGGTGAGGGGACAGAGGTGTAGGGGGAGAGCGCTCTGTCAACTCCCAGCTCTGTCCGCACCCCAAGGGCCCTCGGTACCCCGTGCCTTCCGGTTCCCTGACGGGTGGAAAATCAGGACAACACAGCCCGAGGCGCCACACGGGCACAAAGGGGCCGGAAGCCGGCATCCCTGAGGCGGGCCCGTCCCATTGGCACTCGGGAACCGCCGTCCCTGTCAGGGCCTGAGGGAAGGGTCGCTCTGCGGCGTTTCCCCCGCCCCGCGTGGCGGCGACGCGTCCCACGAGCAGCAGCCCGGCCCGCATCTCCCGCGTGGAGGGGAGTGCCGGGAAGCCCGGCCTGACCCGGGGCCGCCCGAGCCGGCAGCCCCCGCCCCCCGACGTCACGGCGGCTGGGGGCAGTGCCCCCTAGGGGCCCCGGCTCGCCGAGAGGAAGCGCCCGGTGCACGCCTCACCTCGCCGCGCCGCCCTCGGAGCGCCTCGCCGCATCTCCTCCCGCACCATGCGCGCGCGCCTGCCGCTCGTGCTGCGCCAGCTCGGCCGCCCGCCGCGCCCCCCGGGCCCCCGCTTGCCCTGCCGTGCCAGCAGCAGCAGCGGCGGCGGCGGCGGAGGAGGAGGAGGAGGAGGAGGGAGCGGCCGGGACGGCCTGCTTGGCCAGCGGCGGCTGCAGGATGGCCAGGCCTGGAGCAGCTGCGGCCCCGGTAGCCCGGTGCCCCCTGTGCGGGACTCGATCGTCCGGTGAGTGCCGGGCTTAACCGCCCCCGTCTCTGGTGAGCGAGGGAGGCCCGGCACCTTGGAGCTGGGGGCGGTGAGGGCTCCGGGGGGGAGGGGGCCGCCGTGGAAGTAGGGGATGCCGGGCGCGGATCTGGGAGCGCTGGGGTCGCCTGGTGGCCAGCGTGTGCTCGCCGAGAGCGGGCCGGGCGCCCCCTGGCCGAGGCCGGCCTGGGGAGGTAGGGGGACGCGGGCAGCCCGGCCGGCACCGCGCTGCACAAACTGCACGCCCTGCACGCCCTGCACGCCCCGCCGCACGTGTGCCACGGCCGGCCGGTTGTGATGCAACGGGGCCGGGTGGCTCCCCGACGGGAAAGGGCGGGCGGAGGGGCGGGCCCGGGCGCGGAGGCTGCTGCGAGGCGGGCGCGGTCCCCGGCGCTCCTCCCAGGCCGGGCCCATCCCTGCTGGCGGGCGCGCGGGCTCCCTCCCTGCCAGAGCAGAAGCTCCTGCTCCCAGGACCCGGGCCCCCAGTGAGTCACCGTTTTCCCGGATAGGTCTAGCTGGATATCCTTTTCTTTGCTAATATGTCTTCTCTCTGTATGTTTGTACATAACACGTTTTACAACTTCCCACATTTTAAAACACTTACTTCAAGATTACCATGGCGCCTTAGTTTAACTGGTGCTTTTCCCTTGGGGAGGAGCCTTGGGCTGCTCGGAGACCCGAGGGAAGACAGGTGTTTTGGGAAGCGGGCTGGGCTGCTTCATCTGGAGTCTGTCTTCCCAACCACCGCTGATTGATCCCTTCCGACGCAGCAGGAACCTACTTCCCACAGGCCTGCAGGCAATCTGGCATCTGGCACAGGGCAATCTGGCATCTGGTGGCCGAAGGCAGATGTGCAAGAGAGAAGAATGTGTGAAAGAGAAGAGGACCAAAACTATCTTAGCGTGTCCAGAACTCATTCTCACTCCTGAACATATTCCTTTGTAAAGGCGCCGCCCTCAGTGCTGGTACTGGGGACTGAGTTGCCAAGAACTTGGCCTTTGGGGGGCACGTTGAGGCAGTGTGCCAGAATCTGTGGGCTCGGCTGTGCAGAGAGGAGGGGCCGGGATGACCCCGGGGTGTTGTGACTCCTGTTGCGCCAGCTTGGTTCCTTCGTGGTGGGTGGTTGGGTGGCAGCAGGCAGGCAGCAGGCAGGCAGGCAAGGGGCCAGGTGGCCGTGCTGGTCAGAAGTGCCTTACAGACTGTCGCCACGCCGCAGGTGAGTGTGACCAGCATGTGCACTTGAGCTTGGTGGCTGGATACAGCTGAAGTGAGCTTACTGCATTCAAAGCAGAGGAAAATGCATGCAGGTCCCTGCTGGCCATAGGAAGCCCCTGACCCTGTGATCCAGGCATGGGGAACCTGTGGCCCAGAAAACCCTCTGGTCTAGCCCCAACAAGGCAACTGCAGGCAGGGCTCAAAATTCAATACATATGTAGCAGGCAGAATTTTTTTCTTTCAAAAGATTTATGTATTTTTATTAGAAAGGCAGAATTAAAAAGAGAACGAAAGAGAGATCTTCCATCCAGTGGTTCACTCCCTAAATGGCCACAATGGCCAGAGATGGACTGATCCGAAGCCAGGAGTGGCTTCAAGGTCTCCCATGTGGGTGTAAGGGCCTGAGGAGTTAAGCCATCCTCCACTGCCCTCCACGCCATCAGTAGTGAGGCAGATCGGAAGTGAAACAGCCAGGACTTGAACCGGTACCCATATGGGATGCTGGAACTGCAGGTAGAGGCCTGGCCTGCTACACTATCCCTGACGGTGATTTTTAAGTTGATACTCTTGTGTCTCTTACAAATGATGTTAACAGATATCCCAATGGCCCTTGGCACCTTGGCACCCACCTGTTAAGCCAGTGGGTAGCAGTTTGATTACTGTTGCTGTTATATTGACTATCGTGTGCTGAATGTCACTGTTAAATTGCTTGTGGTACTTTTTACCTGTTATTCCTCTGAATACAAGTGACTCTTTTTGGAAAATCTTCATGATATTTATAAAAAGTACACGTTTGGGCCAGCGCAGTGCTGTCATAGGCTGTTCCACCTGCATCATTAGCATCCCATACGACTGCTAGTCCGAGTCTCGTCTGCTCCACTTCCAATCCAGTGCCCCGACTGTAGCCTAGGAAAGTAGCGAAGGTGGCGTTAGTGGACAGAAGACTTCTCTGTCTCTCCCTCCCTCTCTCTTTCTGTAAGTCTTTCATGTAAAAATGAATCTTAACAACAACAAAAGTGTACCCTTTTTTCCCCCCCAAAGAGTTGAGAAGTTGACATGTAGATTATTAATAAAAATGGAATCCGCATTCCGAGATACTTAAAGGACAGTTTTCAGTAGCATGGCCAGCTGCTTCCTCCCAGCCCTGGCGTGGGGGGCCACAGCAGGCCACGGAGCACGGAGGAATGTGGTCCTTGTCACTGGGCAATTCTGTATCTGGCTGGCTCAGTGCACAGCCAGCTAGAGGGACTCAGCCCAGCTGTGTCACCCCCGCCCAGCCTGGTGCCCAGTCGGAGTGGAAGCTGACAGAGCCATTGTTCTCCCAGGGGCACAGAAAAATCCCTGACTTTGCTGCTGTTTAGATCTGTGTTGCTGGGAGCTCCTTGCTAGCATGCTGTGTTTGTGTAAATGATGAGTATCTCCAAAGAAACATTAGGATCAGTGCGCTGGGGAGAGGCTGTGGATACTGTTTCTGGGCTTCCTTGGTTAACAGTGCTGGACCGCCTTGTGAGCCTGTCTTGTCTTCCTGTCCCCATACAACGAGTTTAAAATTCTGACTTCTTCACTCTTGCCAACTTACGAACAGTGCTGTTCCATTCATTTCTTTCTTTCTTTTTTATGATTTGTTTTTATGCTGTTCCATTCATTTCTTTCTTTCCTTTTTTTAACGATTTGTTTTTATTTCAGTGGCAGATTTTGAGAAGTCTTCCATCTGCTAGTTCACTCCCCAAATGGCCACAATGGCCAGAGCTGAGCTGATCTGAAAATCAGCCTCTTCCAGTCTTCCACAGGAGCCCAAGGACTTGGGCCACCCTCTGCTGCTTTCTCAGGCTATAAGCAGAGAGCTGGATCGTAAGTGGAGCAGCCCTGACAGGAACTGGTACTATGTATGATGCCACACTGCCAGGTGGAGGATTAGCTTGCTCTGCCACTGCGTTAACACAGTTTTTTTTCAGTTCTTTGGGAAGTAGGCAAGTCTGGATGTTTCTGGGATTTTGACTATCTTGGGGAGTGTTTTTAAGTTGAGCCAGCTCTATGGCACAGGAAACAAACAAAAAGAACAATTAGAGGGAAAAAGATAAGGTGTCTCTAGAATATACGTATTGATGAAGAGGTGAGTTCACGAAACTAAGAGAAAGGCTCATTATGTCGGTCCTGGGCAGTGTTTCCACTCATGTTTCAGAATTATTGGGATGTCTTGTCTACACCTTCTGGGCCCTCCTGGGCTTTTTCTAAGCAGCCCTCTCGTGTACACCTGCTGCGGAGCTGCAGTGCCTTCCGATTCCATTTGTCACCTGCCTGTGGGAAGCCTGGGAGAAATGCCCAGGGCCTTTCAGCTAGTGTGACCTGGCTGGGACTTCCTGCCCTTGCATATTTGAGGTCTGCTAGGTGCGTGCAAGGCCTTATGGGAGAGTGAGACAGTGTAAAGTTGGTCTCAGCACTGAAGAGCTTGGGTGCAGCCACTGGGGCCTGGCCACTGGGCTGTGGGAAGAACGGGAAAGCCTCCTATTGCATGGGTGCCGGGGATGTGGGTGGTGAAGTCACACATCCTGGGCAGTTCAGGAAGAGCCCGGCTCCCCCTGTGCATCAGGCTCCCCCTGTGGTGCTGTGAAGTCCCTGCTGGCCTTTTGTAGGGGGCATTGGGCAGGCAGTCCCTATGCAGAGCCCAGAAGAGTGAGATCTCACAGAGTACCATAGAATACCATAAAGTCCCCGCTCGCCCCCAGTATCTCTGTAGCTTCCCTTCCCAGTCTCCCACCTTTCTCAAACTCTGGGGCCTGGGGTTTGCCCTGATTTCTTGTCCAATGACAAGCCCCTTCTCCAAACCTTGTCCTTACTCCTCCCATACTCGCCCATCCCCCATGGGTCCCAGACTCTGTGTGGGGGATGGTGACTGTTAGTTAAAATAGAAACCTCGACATTTCATTGAGTCCATTTAATAAATGCAAGAGAAAAACTGAACCCTAGGAGATGTTTGCCAGGGTCACGTCCATTTCCGTCTGCCTGTTTTTAAAATCCGAACTTCTGGGCCTAGTGTGGTAGCCTGGCGGCTGAAATCCTTGCCTTGAATGTGCCGGGACCCCATGTGGGCAATGGTTCTTATCCTGGCAGCCCCGCTTTCCACCCAGCTCCCTGCTTGCAGCCTGAGGAAGCAGTCAAGGATGGCCAAAGCCTTGGGAACCTGCACCCACGTGGGACACCCAAAAGCTGCTCCTGGCTCCTGGCTTCGGATTGGCACAGCACTGGCCATTGTGGCCACTTAGGGAGTGAATCATCAGACAAAAGATCTTCCTTTCAGTTTCTTCTCCTCTATTTATGCCTTTCCAATAAAAATAAATAAATCTTAAAAAAAAAAATCCGACCTTCGCACTGTCCACGGGGGCATAATCCACGATGCTGGCACCATTGTGCTTCTTCCCTTTGTGCACTGGACTCAAACGCCTGTGCTTGTCTGATTGCTGTAGGAGTGAGGCGTTTTCGGACGAGGTGCCGGGCGTCCTGGTGTGTCCATCTGGTCTGCACATTTACAGTGAAATATTCTTTTCTTTTCCGATGTAGAGAAGTCATTCAGAATTCAAAAGACGTCCTGAATCTGTTGCAAGAGAAAAACCCTGCTTTTAAACCTGTTCTTGCCATTATTCAGGTAAGCCGAGGGTGTGGTTGAGTCCCGCTGTTTTAGGGTGGATGTCAGTTTAGGAAACACTTGTATAAAATAGTACCTGTTATTTCCAGTCCAAGAGAACATCCTGTTGGAAGTGGCCTCACCTTCCCCTCTCTGGGCGTTTGCCTCTGCGGGGTTCCAGGTTAGGCATTGCTGCCCTGGGAACTGTCTTTGAGGAGTCTTCCTCTCTGAACGTGGGTGGCTTTCAGAGGACAGGAGGTGGGCACCCACATACATTGCTTGTCCAGTATGCATTGCAGTCCGAATGCTCGTATGTGCTTTCCAAATGAAGTGAGAGGGAGATGAGTTCTGACAGATGCTAGGTCTTTGTCATCTTTGTGTCTTTAAAACCCACTTTCAGCTTGTCACAGGTCCTCAGCATGTCAGAAGAACTGTATGCAAGTGTGTTTTTGGGCTGCAGCCCCATAGTTCTGAATGGTGCTCGGGACTTGCTGTCCCTCTTGGCATCCTTTGTATGGCGGCAGGTGCTGAGATATAGTAATGCCAGAATACTGACCCAGTCTGGCAGGTAGACGGCTACAGGGCTGTTTGGCTTGCACGTCTCCTATCAACGTAGCAGGCTCCAGTTATACCAGTGCTGTCTCTCAGGATGTTTGCGCTGCTGTGTTTCCACATGTGTTTAGAAAGAAAGGCAAGTTAGGACAGCAGAAAGCAAGCTGGGCTGGGGGCTCGCAGCCAGTCCTGGGTGAATCTGCCTATCAGCGGCTTCCTACCCAAGGGTAAACCGCTAAAGCCCCTTCCTTTGGGGTCCTCCTCGGGAGGGGATGCTGGCTATGGGACCGTGTGTGCCCCGTGAGAGGAGAGCTGTGACTTCTTGAGTGACTTCTGTCTGCTAGCCTGAAAAATAAAGATACATATGAGCCATTTTTCCCTTTTTCTCTCTCATTAATCCTTTATATAAGGAGTAAGATTCTCTGCATCTTTCTTTAATTTTTAAATTTTGTTTTTTGAGGGGTAGAGGGCAGGGAATGGGGGGGAAGACAGATAGCTCTCCACCATCCTCTGGTTCACTCCCCAGCTTGCTACACGGCCCAAGAAGGGTCAGTGGGATGCTGGGAGTCAGCTGGGTCTCCCACATTTGAGGCAGCGGCCCAAGGGCTGGGGTCATCTTCCACTGCCTTCCCAGACATATTGGCAGGAAGTTGAATCAGAATCAGAGCGTCCAGAGCTGTGTGTCTGAGCAACTGCTGTGTCACAACTGCAGCCTCTTTTCGTGTTTTGAGGAGATGATTTAGAGTCCTGGTGCTGGTGGCTGTGTCCTGTGCTCTGTGTTTGCAATATGTTTTGATGCCATTACACTCTCCTCACTCTCTCCTAGGCGGGGGATGACAACTTGATGCAGGAGGTAAACCAGAACTTGGCTGAGGAGGTGAGGACTGTTTGCTTTGACCTTCCTGTGTTCTGTACCGTGTGTCGTGGTGGTGCCTGACCCTGTGCTCCCTTTGCAGGCCGGCCTGAACATCACGCACGTTTGCCTTCCTCCGGAGAGCAGTGAAGATGAGGTAATGACCACAGAGCACGTTCCCCGTCACTTGTTTTCCCTTGTGCACCTGGCAGGCCCGTTAGCATCTTCTGGGGGGATGGAGCAGTCCTTTTACTTGTGGGGGATGGCGTTCGTCTTCCCTTGCGTTTAAATGCCCGAGCCCTCTGTCCTTTCTCGTTGTGTCCTGAGGCCTGAGCCACAGTGGGTTGTGGGTTTCCTTTGGCTGTGGCAGCAGTGTTGTCTGGGGGAAGTCTTCAGGCCCTGGGAGCACTGACTGTGCACCTGTTCTGTTTGATAGACTTGCCTGATCCCGGGCCATTCCCCCAGCCTCCCTGGGTCACAGTGACCCCGTGGATAAAATAAATGAGTGGGTCATGATGACCTCAGGTTCCTTTCTGTGGTTTCCTCAGTAATCTCTCTCTTTTTTTAAAGGATTTATATTTATTTGAAAGGCAGACTGACTTAGAGAGAAGGAGGCACACAGAGACAGGAAATCTTCCATCTGTTGGTTCACTCCCCGGATGGCTGCAGTGGCCAGAGATGAGCCAATCTTCCCCCAGGTCTCCCACGAGGGTCCAAGGACCCGAACACCTGATCCGTCCTCCCTTGCTTTCCCAGGCCATAGCAGGCAGCTGGATTGAAAGTAGAACAGCTGGGATACAAACCAGTGCCCATGTGGGGTGCTGACACCGCATGTGGAGGCTTACACTGCTGTGCCATGGTACTGTCCCCATTCAGTGAGATTTTGAAAAATTGAATGTATTTTCACAATTTACTGAATTTTTGCTATTATTTTATTTAAGAAAGAGAGAGAGAGGGAAGCATCCCATCTGCTGGTTCATTCCTTAGATGCCCACAGCAGGTAGGAGTAGGCTAGGCCAAAGCCAGCAACTGGGAACCCAATTGAGGTCTCCTACATGGAAATAAAATGTAGGTGCCAGCTGCTCCAGCACCTGAGCTGCCGCCCACTGCCTGCCAGAGTGTGTGTTGGCAGGAAGTCAGAATGGGGAGAGGGGCCAGACACTCCAGTACACAGTGCAAGCGTCCCAGGCAGCACCACAGACGCCAGGCCAAACGTCCACCCCTTTGGAGTGTCATAGGAGCAGCTGATGAAGAAACACCCATTGGTCCTCCCACCGCTATGCCTGGTAATGTGGCTGTTCCTGCCACAGGGAGCAGCTGCCTTGCCTAGCATCATCTCAAGCGTGGGAGGAGACTGGGCCAGAGGCCACAGGTCCCTTTCTCGGCTGGCTTTTCTTTTAGGGCATTGGGATGTCCCCTGTGAGACAGAAAGCTGCAAGGACCCGGGTCTTAAATAACAGAAGGAAGTGTGGGAGTGGGCAGACCCTGGGCAGCAGCGTTCTCTCATTCCCTGGAGCCTCGGGCTCCTCCTCCAGCTGTCTCCTCTCCCTGTCACATCCACGTTCAACCCGCGTCAGATAAAGAAGAAATGGTGAGGTACTGAAAAGGATTATTTGCAGGCAAGGAGAGGGACTGCTGAAGCGGGGGCAAGGGCGTTACGGCAGCCACCCCGTGTCCACAGGGAGTTCCTTCCAATACCCTCAGTCAGTGCCTGAGCCGGGCACAGCACTGGGCCCCATGTGTCCAGCACTTCACATATTGCCTTCACTTCACATATCCCTTTGGCATATTCCACTGGCCAGCATTGCTGCTCTTGCACTTGAACCCAAGTACATGCTAAGACAGGTGCTCTGATAACTGAGGTAGTTCCTGAGAGACTCATGGACAGGTGGAGAGCAGGTAGGCGTGTACCCTGGAGGCAGCGATTTTTCTTGTCCGATGGGACAGAGCAAGACAGTGCAAGACTTTGTCATGTAGTCAGAATAGCATGCAGTGGAAAACATATGAGTTACTTATTTCTGGAATTTTCTCATTGGCCATTTTTCATTTTAATATTGACTGAGGGTGACAGAAGCCATGAGAAGTGATTCCACAGGTCACTGTGTGAATACGCAGACCACAGACCAGCAGACCCTCCTGGGGTAGGCAGTGAGGATTTTTCCTCTACAAGGAGAAGGCAGAAGGAGGAGAGGGGTGTGGGGGAACTGGTAGAAACAGTGTGAGATCTCTGATTGTTCTAGCAACTTGTGCCAGCTCAGCCGGGGTGAGCCAAAGTTCAGAGACCTGGAGGTAAAAGAGATGTGTGTTCAGGGTCTCCTTGTCAAGCACATTGTGCTGATTGGTCAGCTGTAACCAACGGTTCACCTAATCATTGATGAGACATCACGGGCATTCACAGTGACTGTATCAGGCTTTGCCCTAGGAAAACATGGGGACATCCATAACTCCAAAGGGGAGTTAGACAGGTAAGAACTCTTCCACCCTCTGGGTCACTCCCCAGGTACCCATGACAGCCAGCGCTGGGGCTAGGCCACATGTCCATGGGAAGCACCCAGTGACTTCACCCACTTGTTGCTGCTTCTCAGGGTGCCGGTGCCTGTGAGCAAGATGCTGAACTTGGGAACAGAGTCAGGACTGAGCCCAGGTGCTCTGAAATGGGTAGCTGGTATCCCAGGAAGTGTGTTAACAGCTGACGTCCTCCCCAGAGTGACCTCCTGGCTGTTGATCACCGAGCTTTAGTGGAACACACTGTGTTGGGCTTAGCTGGGCCAGGCTTGGAATGCTAGCGTTTCATGTTTCTTGGCCTCGCTCAAAACCCATGTGTGGCACTTAAAAATATGCTTATTGACAGGAAATTGTCCTTGCTGTCTTTAATGTTTAATACCTGCAGAGTTCTGCTTTGGTTTGGTGTTCTTGTGTTTTGGCACAGAATAGAAGGATAAAAGCTGCAGAGAAATCATTTTTAAAAGTTCAGCTAAGCTTCTTTGCTTTCCAAAACATGATGAAAAGAGGAAATGGAGTTTTTCACTATGCTGTCTTCCAGGTCTTCCACAAGGAGAAAGAAGTTGTAAAACTTCTATCAGTCTGTTATTCACGTAGCTGCTGCTGTTGGGTCTCCTTATCACAGGCTCAGTTCTGTCTTGTGTCTTTTCTCTTTAGATCATAGATGAGATCCTGAAGATGAATGAAGATACCAGGGTGCATGGTCTTGCCCTTCAGGTCCCAGAGAACTCTCTTAGCAGCAAAGTCCTCAATGCCTTGAAGCCAGAAAAAGATGTGGATGGGTAAGAAAACGGAGCAGATAGCGACCTTAATGGCTAAGTCATTTTTCTACAGTAATTTCTTTTTGTTTTTAATCCTTTCTGTTTGTTTCAACTGTGTCCATCACTAGGTAATGAAAGATGTCATTGCAAATACTTCAGGAGTTTGAAGAACTTTGAAGATTGATTTATTTGAAAGAGTTACACACAGAAAGAGACCTTCCATCTGCTGCTTCGTTCCCCAATGGTTGCAATGGGTGGAGCTAGACCAGGCCAAAGGCAGCCTCTTCAGCTAGGCTCCCCCGTGGGTGGGAGGGGCTCAGACCCTAGGATCATCTGCCTCTGGTTTCCCGGGCCATCAGCAGGGAGCTGAGTCAGAAGTGGAGCAGCCAGGACACGAACTGGCTCCTACATGTGATGCTGGTGTCACAGGCAGAGATGGACCCTGTGACTACTGTGCCTACTGTGTTACCTGCCACGCCTCCAAGCTAGTCCCTCATAGCCTATGGTTTTATGTGAAATTTTAGCAATGGCAGCGTAAATGTCTGGGCCCAGATGTCAGGCTCTGCTTTTCATCATGATATAACCTGAACTTTATAGGACAATGAATACTAATACTGCCTCTCTATCCTGGGGAGGTTGGTATGTTTCCTGGGGATGAAAACCACCTCCGCTGTGACACAGAAACATGAAGAAGTATTTTCTGTTGTGGCCCAAAGTTACGAGGTTATTGGCAAGGTTGGTGTTGTAGCACCACGGTTCAGCCAGCACCTGACACCAGCATCCCACACAAGAGTGCCACTTGGAGTTGTGACTGCTGTTCCACTTCCGATCTGGCGCCCTGCCTCCGTGTTTAGGAAGGCGGCAGAGGATAGCTCAAGTGCTTGAGCGCTTGCCACCCATGTGAGCATCCTGGCTGGGGCCCTGGCTCCTGATTTCTGCCTGGCCTAGAACTGACTGTTGAGGCCATTGGGAGAGTGGGTCAGCAGATGGACGATCTCTCTGTCTCACCCTCTTTCACTGTTGCTTTCCTTTTCCAGTAAGTAAACAATATACATTTTTAAAAAAAGCAAGATGATATGTGAGTTTACAAAATGAGACTCTGTTAAGTCCTTCAGGGCCACTCACTGCAACAGTTGGGCCTCTTGTCTTCTGGTCCTTCACGGTGTCCTGGGTATCACCAGCGCAGCTCAGGAGTAGTCCCAGATACCTGCAGTCCTCTGGCAGACTCGTGTAAGAGCTTGCAGGGCCTCCAGGTAACGGGCAGTCGTTTCAGATCTGCCATTGAGAAGAGATTAGGATGACTTTTTCAGATGTCTCCATCTTGCTACTCTGAAAATCCAGAAGGAAAAACTGACCCAGAATGGTTTCCCCCCTCCATACTTGCTCCATACTTGCAAGCCGGTATAAACACAAGAGATCAAATAGTTCAGTAAAAATGAAAGAGAAAAGATTTTGAAATTCCTATCTATAAGGAGTTCTCAAAATGTTGATGGCTAACACATGTTATAAAAACAAAACCAAACCTTGCGTGGGTTTTCTGAAACTGTCCTTGTACTTCTGCTTTCCAACTTGTAAGACACAGAGGCGGAGATGCTCAAGGTGGGGGCTGGGGGTTGGTGCCGAGGCACGTGTCCTCTCTGGACAGCTCCCTCCAGGACCCTCCATCTGGTCGGCTACCCAGAAGCTCACCTGTCCTAGGTTTCTGTGGAGACTCATGGCATAGACAAGATCCCTGATGCCCTGGAAGAGGAGTCCTGGTGACTCCCACCTCAGAATTCTCTTGAGGGCAAGGGACGGGACTCCCTGTGGAGTGGGTGGGCTTAGGAGCTACCGTCCTGAGCATCTGTGGCCGGCCTTGGGGAGGGCACCCTGCCCAGGATGAAGTCCCAGACGTGCACTTCCGTGTAGCACCACGGGCACTGCTCCAGGCTGAGAGCATCAGTGCAGCGCAGGTGTTTTGTCCTGTATGTGAATGAGATAAGGCATGGAAAGCCTCAAAGTTGGGCAGTGGCACTGTGTTTTCATTTCCCCAGGATGTAAATACTGAGGTCAAGCAGTCAGATTTCTGAATCCCAGGTCTCACTGGGTCACTCCAAATTTGTGCGATGGATTCTGGGTGTTGGGGCCAGACCTCCCTCCAGTGGTGTCATGCCATTCCCTCACAGGCTGTTGAAAGTACTCTCCGATGTGGCCTTCAGCTACATACTGCTGTGTGGGCAGACCTGGAATGTGCAAGGTGGGCACAGGAGTGGAGTGTGCTGGTGGGCTGCTTCCAGACTACTGCTTCTTGTCACTAGTCTGTTGTGTTGCTATAAGCAAATGCCTAGAGCTGAGCACTTCATATGGGAAAGCGGCTTATTTGGGTTGGTCTCATTTTATGTCATCCCGCTGGTGGCTGTCATCCAGGCCCGGGCAAACCACAGCTCAGAGCAAGCAGCACTGAGCCATGCATGCACTTCCAACCCTTGTGGCTACATCACCTCGTCACTGTCCCACCGCCTGAACAGTCCACACGGGATCCTCTAAGTGACATGTAAATTATCACATACCACTTTTTTGGCACATACATAGTATGTCCTTCAGACACTGACTTGGCTGTTAGGGGGATTACAACCTAAAAACTTAAGCCTGTGTGGTTTCTGTCCGCGTGTTGGCTTAGCCTTTCTCTTGTTTTCTGTTGCAGGGTAACAGACATAAACCTGGGGAAGCTGGTTCGTGGGGATGCCCATGAGTGTTTTGTCTCACCTGTCGCGAGAGCTGTAATTGAACTTCTTGAAAAATCAGGTAAGATGCTCCTTTCAACAAACTGCTCTTTGTTATTTATTGATGTTTGTTTTTCCAAGAAGGATTTATTTCTCAAGGATTCTGATGGAGGCAGAAGTGATCATTTATAACTTTTGAGAGGTACAAATGAATGCAAAAATTTTCTAGGAAGACTGTAACGTGACTTGAAAGAAAGTGGTAAGAGTAAATGATTAGTGCATTTTGCATATTCCTTTTCTCTTGGGAAGCAGTAAACACCACATTGAAAAACATTGGCCTGGATAAGAGGAATTTAATTTTACATTTACATGCTCTAGGATAAAGAAAGCTAGATTGATTTGTTGATGGAGTTTCTTTTCAGCCATCAGCCCCTGGTTTTCAGCACTCTCCCCTCGTCTTTGCATTTTTATGTCAGTAGACAAAAAGAAATAAATTCTCCTCCTTGGTTATTCAATGTAGTTACTGAGTTTCTGTCCAGCTTCTTGTAGATGTTAGTCTTCAGAAAGTTCATAGAAGAAGCGTGCTTTGAAAAACCAAGGCAAGAATAAATTTTTTTGCACCAAAATAAACTTGTCTTAATTCTATATTCCATAGACTTTTTGAAGTACCCTGTTATTTAAGAGTTTTCCTGCTGAGAACATAAAAGGTTGACTAGTGTTTTCTATAGTTTGCATGGAAAAGCAGCAGATGCCCTTTCTGTATCCTTAAGAATTCAGTAGTTGGCTAAAAAATTCCGAAAATGAATTGCAAAGTCTCATTAGAAGGTTAAGTTTCAGATGGGGACGAGGCAGTGGGCCTGGCAGGAGAGATGCTGCTTGGGACACCTGCGTCCTGCCTGGGTTCAGCTCCCAGCTCTGCTTCTGACTGCAGCTTTCTGCTTGTGAGCCCTTGGAGAGGCAGCAGCTGACAACTCAAGAGCTTGGGTCCTTTCCAGCACGCGGGATACCTGGGTGGAGTTCCAACCCAGCCCGACCTTGGCTTCTGGGGGCATTTGAGAAGTGACTCAGTGGAAAGAAGCTCTCTTTGCCTCTTGAATAAAACAAAGAAATAAGTACTGAAGTTTTAGTACTTCTCATTTGTCTCCATGTTTGAAATATGGGAGGTGGGAGGAGAGACAGAGATGCTACGTTGGCCGGTTGGCTCCCCAAAGGCTTGCAATGGCCAGAGCTGGACCAACAGGAAGCCAGAAACTTGGAACTGCAACCAGGTCTTCGCATGGGAGGTAGAGACCCAAGTATATGGGCCATTTCCACTGCTTTCATGAATGTATAAGCAGGTGGCTGGATGAGAAGCAGAGCAGTCAGGACTCAAAGCAGTGCTCTGATAGGGGCAGCTGTCATCACAGAGGGCAGCTAAACATGCTGTACCAAAGCAGCATACCCAGGATAGCTCCTTAAATGAGTAAGCATTGAGTTCACCTTTTTGCCATAACCCATAAGATGTACAGTTTTATCGTTAGAAGGATTGTCCAGGTCAAACATCTGAGCCATGTTATCAGAAAACTCAACATGAAAGAGTCAGTTATGGTAAAAAAAAAAAAAAAAAAGACAGCAGTGCCTTTTAGAAAGTTAGCTGCCTGGCGCTTCCTCTGGCTCTCCCATGTGGGTACATGGGCCCAAGCACCTGGTGAATCTTCTGCTTTCCCAAGCCATTAGCAGAGAGCTGAATTGAAAGTGAAGCTGCTAGAACTTGAAGCGGCGTCCATACGGAGTGCCGGTCTCGCAGGCAGTGTTACCGCTATCCCGTGATGCTAGTCCCGAAAGTCAGGCTTTTAAGAGATGTTTTCCCTGGAAATCAAGTTGGAGAGGCAGACCCTGACATTCTGATCATTTGGTTGGTAGGTGTCAACCTGGACGGGAAGAAGGTCTTGGTTCTGGGTGCCCACGGAGCGCTGGAGGCCGCGCTGCAGTGCCTGTTCCAGAGGAAAGGTTCCCTGACCATGAGCTCCTGGTGGAAGACGCCACAGCTGGAGAGCAAGGTAAACTTCCCATGGAGATGCGCCTCCTTGGATGCTCCTGTTAGGAAAGCAGAAAGGCTGGGGATGTGTGAGCCAAGGGTGGGCTTAAGAGATAAGAAAAGGCAACACAGAAGACCTCACAGCATGGAAATAGATGAAAATTTTAAAAATGAGCTAGAAAACAAATACAAATGAGTGATTAGGAAAGTCTTGTAAAGTACACGCACCACCACCGAAAAGAATTCACAGAAAGTGTCAGCAATACCAGGAATGAACAAGCGGACGTAGCCAAAGGAGAATGTACGTGACATTACACTGGTAACTTGAAACGCGTGTGAAGTGAGCACTTTGCTTGGAACATGTGAGTTACGAGAGGACCCAAGCAGAACGGAACAGGCTGTATCCATCAGAGGATCGAGGCCTGGGGTTACGAATCGGCTCCACCAAACAATGAGCAGATGGAGTTCTCTCACACAGGGAACCGACCGTGCCATTCTGGCCATGCCCCAGCAGGCAGAGACAAACACCAGGTCCTAACTGGTCTTGTGAGTGCCAAGACCAGGCAAGGTCAGGAAGAACAAGGGCGATCGCTAGTTCCGTTTTCACCTGTGGCTGTGGAAGCCACCAGGAGCAGAATCTTAAAACATCTGGATACGGCAGCAGGTTGGGTTCGTTTAGAATCAGGCTCCATTAGTGTAGTTTATCACATTATCAAGACAAAGAAAACTGTTCTTACCAGAATAGAGGCAGGGGGAAAAAAAAACCGAACCAGTATTTGATTTAGAAAGTCAGGGATACCGAGAGTAAGTCGTTGCTCACTGCCCACAGTGGTCAGGGTCAGTCTAGGGCAAAGCTGGGAGCGGGGAACCCAGTCCAGCACTCCCATGTGGGTGTTGGGGACCCAACGACTGGAGACGTCAGTTGGTGCCTCCCAGGGTGCCTGTCAGCAGAGGTTGCCATCAGGAACCCAAGGCAAGCGGTAAACCCAGGCATCCCAGGGCCTTGCCCACCTCACCAAGTGTGTGACCTGTTAGGATTTAAATACATTAAAAAAAAAACTTTCAAACTGGGAAATTAAAGGAATGGTTCAAACCAGGCAGCTACAGAAATGTATAGTAGATTTAAAAGTAACAGCGTCATAAACGTTTAAAATCAGGAAAGAAATGAGTGCTGGTGACCAGTACTCCTACTCAGCATTTACTGTGGTTCCTGGATAATCCTGTGATAAAAAGAAGAAAAGTTATAGTTATCAGAAAAGAAAGGCACCCAACTGTCCTTCATCCCAGGTGATAGGATTGTGGGGAAGACCAGAGAGAAGTTATTAAAAAATATAGGGGCATTAGAATTTGCTGACAATAAGATCAACATGCATTTTTAAACACTGGCAATCTAAAGTTGCCATGTTAAATGTCTTAAAAGATAATAATAATTTCTGTTAAAGAAAATGAGAAGGTACCCAATAATAAATGAAAAAAAAAAATACAGCCCTTTGAAAGTAGTCATTTAATTTTAATGGAAGTCATTAAGAAGACCTGAAATAAAAGAGATATTATGTTGGTGGATGAAAAAATATCAGCATCTTAAGAGATAAAGATTCTCCCTAAATTAATGCATAAATTTGAAGCGACATTCAGGCATGATATGTTTTGTATAATCTGTTAAAGTGAATGCAACATTGTTATGGAGAGCTGGGCATTTCACGTGTCTCTTGTCTGAGTACCTGGGCTTGAGTCCTGGCTTGCCCTCCCATCCCAGCCTCCTACTAACACACATCCCAGGAGGCGGCAAGTACTTGGTCCCCGCCGCGCAGGTGGGAGACCGCGGATTCCCGGCTCCTTGCTCCAGCCTGGCCGGGCCACAGCCTCTGCAGACATCTGCGGAATGAACCAGTGCACAGAAGAGACCTACTTTCTCTTTCAAATACATAAATATTTTTTAAATGTGAAAAATAATATACAATAAATAAAATTCCTTTATCATTTTTAAAAAGGCTTATTTTTATTTATTTAAAAGAGTTTATAGAAACACTGATTCACTCTTCAGACGGCCACAATGGCCGAGGCTGGGTCAGGCTACAGCTGGGATCCAGGAGCTTCATCTGAGTCTCCCGTGGGGCTGCAGTGGCCCAAACCCTTGGGTCGTTTTCTGCTTCCATTAGCAGGGAGCCGGATTGAAAGTGGGGCAGCCAGGACAGGAGTGAGTGTCCATACAGGATGTGCAAGCATTGCCAGTGGCAGCCTTACTTCACCACAGTGCTGGCTGGTCCCAGATAACATCCTTGAGAAAGCACTGAGGACTAACAGGATCAAGGCAGTCTTGTAGAGTAAGTACCTGGGACACTCAGCCGGCCACATAGTGCAAATTAGACATTTACAGTAATCAGGATCGTGTGGGAGGCACAAGGACAAGTGGAACAGAAGCAGCTTAGAAGCAAATTCGAATGTTTCTAGAAGCTTCAGGACACAGGTTGTTGATCAGCAGGGACAAAGAGGACGTTGACCTCTCTAGCTACATAGAAGTGCCGGTCTGACGCTCCGTAAAAACCACTCCTAGGTACAAGTGTGGAAGTTACCTTTTAGAAAAAAAAGGGTAACTCGGAGAATATACTCTCCAGAGAAAATGCAGAAAAGCTGTGACCGTTTCACCACTTTGCTATTTAAGAAGCAAAGCCAGGCTTGTTTTGGTGAAAAGGCAGCTAGCTGATGGGCAGCGAGCACTGGGTTGGCTCCGAGTGAGAAGGCCAGACTCCGTGAGGCCTTGCGTGCGTGTGTAGCCTCTGCTGATTCTGCTGTCAGATCTACTGGTAACAGGGAAAAAAATATCGATGACGAACATTGCTAGAGACGGGGAGAAAAGATTGAAATGCACGCAGTTTGCAGTTTGAGGCCCTCTGACCCAGGATGTGACTGGAGCGAGATCGTGGGTAAGCTGTGGGTGCGTTGATCAGGGCAGCATGTTCCCAGTGCAGACCAGTACTGTGGCCGGTGAGCTAACTGCCCGTCGGGGTGAAGGGGGGATCGGTACAGTTGTTGTCTGCAGTGTGTAGACGCATGGTCATAAACCGTAACAATATACACACAGTGAAAACAAAGCAAGGAAGAGTTTCAAAACGTGGCTTTCAGAGGGAAAACTCACAGAGGGGTGCAGACAGCATTTATAGAGCACTTAGAGCTGTATTTTATACTCCATACTGTGTAGTACATACTGTGCCATTCATAAAAGCCACACGGTATCATTATCTGTCACACACAGTTATTACTGTGCATGCGGTCGGGATAGGTTCCAGCAAGCAAGCATGCTGTAGATACTACCACCTGCACATGTCCAAGTGCCTTATGTAAAATGTCATACTCACTTCTCTATCACAATCCCTCAAGCAAATTAAATGCTATGTGCATAGCTGTTGTACCACATTGTTTAGCAAACAGTGACAAAAATGTTTAATACAAACTCAACTCTTTTAGCGAACGTTTTCAGGCCCTCGTTGGTTGAATCCGGGGATGGGCCTGCCCATGTCTGTGAATGTGTCTTAAGGCTGCATGGACACTAAGTGCAAGTATAAACACATTAAAGCTATGAATATCTTCAGAAAAAGCTTGCACTGGAGCAAAAGATGTGGATGGAGATGGAAATGAAGAGATGGGAGGTTTGCTTAGTCTGGGCTGTGAGTTGGCCAACATGTGCATGTCTGAGCTAGTGAATTCATTATGTGAAAAAAAAAAAGCATAGTGCTCACAAATTTCAAAATAAAGTTTACTAAAATGATCACATGAAGCACAGTTAATTACTGCAGGTCAAGACCTAAAAATATTCCATCATGGTTCTCGGGTTGCAGCCAAAGCCGGAAGTGAGCAGGTTGGAGTTCCAGGAGGGTGTGTGGCCTCAGCATGTTCTTGGAAGTAAACCTAATCCTTTGTGTGTTCTCGTGATGACCACAAGGTGGCACCCTATTCAAGCAGATTTGGAAACGGGGGTCAACGTGTTTTTGACTTTGGAGTTGCAGATTTTTTGTTCTGAAACTCAGCGGACAAGGACACTAAAGCTGACCCTGGACAGAAGAGCTGAGAGAGAAGGAGAAAATACCTTCATTGGCAATTGTTTTCACAGCTGTCATGCATATTTTTGCTAGTTGTATCTGTATTTTTGAAAAACAAAGATGTTTTTCAAACTGCTTTTTTATTGTGGCAATAAATCACCTTCAGTCTGTGCTTCGGGATGAATCTCATGCTGATCATGCTGATTTTAAGGATGATTTAATGCCATGGACTTCTGGAGAATGTAAGAATTGGGTGACTTTCTGCTTCTGCATAAACAAAGTTTTTTTAATGCTTTTTAAAAAAAAGATGTATTTATTTTCATTGGAAAGGTAGATTTACAGAGAGAAGGAAAGACACATGGAAAGATCTTCCACCTGCTGGTTCACTCCACAAGTGGCCAGAGCTGAGCCCATCTGAAGCCAGGAGCTTCTGTTGGGTTTCTTACATGGGCGTAGGGACCCAAGACTTTGGGGAAACCTCCACTGCTTTTCCAGGACACAAGCAGGGAGCTAGGTGGGCAGTGGAGCAGCCGGGACATGAACTTGTACACATGTGGGATCCCGTGCTTGAAGAGGGAGGATTAGCCAGTTGAGCCAGTGCACTGGCTCCAAATTCTTGGTGTTGTGTATGCAGTAGCCCCAAGTCCTGGTGTTTGCAGTAACGCCACTGTGCGACTTAGGGGTTGTCCACTTTTTTTTTTTTATTTATTTGAAAGACAGATGAAAAAGACACAGACCTTTTGTCCACTGGTTCACTTCCCAAATGCCTGCAGCAGCCAGGACTGTGAATGGCTGAACGCCAGAGCCCAAGACTCAGCCCAGGTCACTCCCATGGCTAGCAGGGACCCAGGTATTCAGCAAATTGGAATTGAAAGCAGAGATGAGACTTGAATTCAGGCACCTCCTTAGAGGATGTAGACATTTCAAGTGTCATTTAACCACTGTCCCCAAGAGTAAGCTTTTTAATTATCTCTGTAACCAAACA